AAATAAGTATAAAGATCGATACGATATTGTGCTACAAAAAAAGCTATTAAAAGAGTAAAACAACTAAATTTATATTAGAAATAACGAGATTATGTACAAAACATTAGACTTAAAAGTAACTGTTATTCGTTGATATGGTTTGTCACAATAAGAACTGTAACTTTGTATCTTTTTGCCATGTGGATTAAATTTTATATTGTTCATTTTTCTCCTTCTTCTTAGTCATACTTTGAGAAAATCATTATAAGCGAAAATGTACAAGATGACACAGATTCATGAACCATCATCTGCCTTGTCTATTTCAGACTTCTAACTTCTAGGGTTCCAGTACGTCACTAAGCAGACACGTCGAGTAAAAAGCATATTCTAAAAAATATATGATGTGAGGCAGAGTAAATCGCCGAATTTATCGAAAAGTGGAACTTGTTTTGTAGTGGAAAACGATGATAACTCACACAATAAAAATTTGTTTTTCTTACCCTATTACCTCCCCACCCTCTCAACAAACCCTCAAACTTTGTCAGTTTGTAGAGGACACTTTCCCAGCTATTTTGCATCTAGTGCAAAAAGTCTTGCACAGTCGTCCGCGTCAATGAAACATTTTGCAAAGTTTATATCAATGCAAAATTTGTTCGTTGCATTCATCTGTACCAGATGACATATTTTCTTTTTAGTGCAGACTGCGTAGATACAAAGTTTTAGGTTATGAACTAGGTACGAGTTACAATTCTGCTCGTATCCACGATTCTCTCTAACACGAACGAAATACTGCTCTTGTGCACAGTAAAAGAAAAATAAAACTAAAAAAAGACAGCGCTACAGATATATTGTTCATGCAGCATGTCACCAATTGACAATTATAACTGCTTATGTGCCAAATGAAATAAATCGAATTTCCTAAACTGCTCAGAACATCAGTCTCTGAGAAAGTCAGTCGCTGAGGCATTTTTCGTTGTACTGGTTTTGACTAAAAGAAGGGAGTTAAGGCGAAACAGTAAACAAGATGTGTATAACAGAAAACATGTCGAAGAAGCATTTTCGTCTTTATTAGATCTCTTTCCTGCCTTCGTTTCATGGGGATCGCGTGTGACACTGGAAACGAATCTGCTTTTATTAGATACTCTTTCCACCAGATTTTCTATTCTTGTTGTGTATGTAGAAAATCAGCGATCGCAACAGTTCATTACAAAACCAGTATGTTTCTGTCCTTTTTCTTTACTGATTCGAAAATACTCCCAGTACAGGAAGATTCCTCCCTATTCTAATAAGCGCGGCATTTTTTTCTCGAGCAGCCTTCATTTTAAAAACTATTCTACTAACTTCTACTATACGATAAGTATTTTTCGATATATTATTCCCACAACGACGCCATCGTCTGCGAACATTGCCTCCATGTGGGAGAACGCTTCTTTTCATAATTTTAAGAGGTCATAAAAAAATAACGGTACATTTAATATGACCAGACTAACACCAAATAAGCACGATAAATATATTTCCTTAAAATGCATTGCCAAACAACTTGGCCCTAGTGCACAACTGGATTCGCAAATCTGTAACTGGTTGGATGAGTCATCTTACACGGGGACACAGACCATTGTTTTTGAGAAAAGGACTAGCTCTTTGCTGAATTTTGGGCATGGCGGTGGTGACTATTTTTACTGACCGACCGACCTTACTGACCAAATTTGATTGGTGTAACCATGGGATAGACCAATCAAATTCGGTCAGTTAAATCAGTCGATCAGTAAAAATAGTCACCACCAGCAAGGCAGCCATTTTGAATTTCTATTGGTTAACGCACAGAACCAGTTAAACCCTATCCCGTTCGTATGATGCTGTTTAGTGTTGAAATAGTAAATTGGCCACTACAAATTATTCCTTTTAAAGTTAAATAAATCAGACTCAATGCAAAAAGAAAAACAAATCCCACATCCGTTTTTAGCCGCGAAAACACTTTGGCAGCAGTGCCAGAATAATGGCGCCTAAAAACACAAATAAAATAAATTTTTTTCTGAATTTCCCCTTTCCAAATTTTATGCTAAGTTAATACAGAATTAGTTCTAAGATTTTTGATATGTGTATGAGTCTGTATCCCTGAGCCTGACAAAAGCTCGTACTTTTCATATGCGTTAGGCTGAAACTAATAACAACAATTGAACCACTAGCGGGGAAATCATAAAAAAACCTGTCAGTCCAGAACTGGAAAAAACGATGGATATCTTCAGCTATCGATGAATGAAATTTCGGGGTCGCTCAAGTGTCGGCGCTGAAATGTCGGTCGCTCCAACGTCGGTTAATTATCATAAAGAGCTCGGACTTGTCTTATTTTGTAGAAAATCATTGATCTGTCGTCGTAGATTGTTTTCAGAGAAAACGACTTTCTAGGGCTTAATAACAACAGATAGGGCGAAAATAAGAACAAAATTACGGGCGACTCATACCATCTGCAGTAGTCACAAGTTACAGATAATGGTGTTTTATACTTTTTTTATATTCGCATATAAAAACAAAGGTACAATTCTAGTTTTTCAATCGTAACATATTCTCTTGTATTCGAACGTATATGAGTCACTGTATCGAAGAAAGAAATTATTTTTCATTTTTCTGTACAATAGTTTTATGTTGAAAATGATCAGTTAGGGTTGAAATATCCAAAGAAAATAAAGCATATGGTGATGGTGAAATTCAAAACAGCTGCACTATTAATCATGTTTTTGAATCAGAATTCGTTGCCCTTGCAAGATTTAGAAGTTTCCTGAAAAAGCTGAAGAAGCAATGAAGTACTGAATGTTACCTTGGTGATTGAAATAACAGCATTCTTCCTTTTTGTTAAGGCAAAACGATAATGCTAAACTGATTTGGAAGAGATATCTCAGCTTTAAAAAATTAATAAAATTGTTTTTATAATTCAATTTTGAATTATTTTTTTATAATTCAAAAATTGTAGAAGTAGCCTTCCGATGAGAGCAATTATTTTTAGTCCTTGTTCTAGAAGCGAAACATTGTAATGATATCGATTCTTTCCAATAGTGCCGATCGAAAAATATTTTTCGGTCAAGATGTCATCCATGTCCACTTTTATGGTCCAAAGAGCCATCCATGTTTTATTATGGGCGACAAAGAAATAGGGTATTGGAGTCGCTGATGGTGATAAAACTGCATTTGTTGTTGATTAGTAAAGTCCAATAAAAAGCATTCATTCTTAGTTGTTTCCTTTGCCACTGAAAAAACAATTAAAATTCCTGAAAGGTTTCGCATGTTTGCGCAAGAAACTTTGAGGGTTGTGTGTGTTAGAGTATCCGGCGATGTTTTATACCTTTACGCAGGACTTTTCTCCTGTCGGCTCCGATGGAATCTTATAGATTTCATACAGCAGGAGCGTTGAAAAATATCCTTCGTAAAGGTAAGCAACATCACGAGTACTTTTACGCACACCAGCTGCAAGGATTTTATTTGTTGAAAGAAAAAGGGTTTTTCCCTCTCATTTTAGAAGAGAGAATAAAAGCCTTTTCCGATGTTTGAAACGATGTGAAAGTGAGCTGAATACAAATTGCTTTATTTATATCTAACTAGAACAAATAAGAGAAAAAATTTGTTTTATACAAATGAAAATCAGTACTTTTTTCTTTCGCAGCCGAATCCTCTTAGCAGAGGTCAAGAATCTGTGTGCGCGTACGGGTGTTTCCGGAGAAACTTAAATACTCTGGAAAATTTTGAGAAATATTACTCTATAATATCAATTGTTTTGAAAATTCTTACCGTTGTATGGTGAAAATTTTCATCGAGACGTGCCATTTACTTTCTTATCGTTAATTCGTGGGCATATGCTAAACCGGCGTAAAGTATATCATGTGATTACTAATCATGAGACGAATCAGCATACTTAAAGGCGCCCAAAGTTTTCTTTTTCTGCACGTTGGAACGTTTTGTGAAAAGTTTCAGTCTGTGAACATTTTTCAAACTCCGGGATAGAATCTCTACTTCTGCTACTTAGCTTCGTCTCAATAAACAGAGTAAAAAATCTGAGAAATATATATTCGACGGATGCATGTAAACTCTCCTGCATGGTGTACTTAGAGAGGAGTCCTCTGAAATCCGCAGGAAAGTGTCTTGAAACGTAAGCGTGTTGAAAAATACTGCAGGATTATACGCGACAAAGCCCAGGACAACTTTTGGCTGGACAGCCTGATGCAAAAACTTGCAGCAAATTCCGACATCCACAGGATTTTTGTAGGCTCCTGCGTACACTCTTTTCTAACAAATTATTCAAATAGAAATACAATGACAGTCGTTATATGTGATCAAAACGTTTTAAACGTAGACAACTGTTAAATGACAATAAATCACACTTATATTAGATTTTTTTTAAATAATTTTTAATCTGCAATATTGATCAAAAACTTGTATATGTTAAAAAATCCTTGTTAAAAAATAATTAAATACCCCGTTGGGTTTTGTGCAATGAATACATCATCAAAAATGAGTGGAAAATAAATGAAGAAAAAAATTAGTTTTTTCTTTTTTTAAAATTGCTGTGCTTAAGTATGACTTAAAGTCTTAACCCAAGAGAACAGATCGAATTACTCTCAAGACGAAATGTATATAAGAATTCTAATTTCCTGCATTAGAGTAAGCTATTTACTGTCTAGTTCTCTAAAATGGGTTGTCTATCAATAGTATTGCTCTTATTTGCCGTTGTTTATCTGACAGGTATAATCCTGATTGATTTTGTTCATTAAACACCTATTTGTCTGTGTTCTCTGAATTAAGTGGCATTCACCCCGACTCAGAGGCAATTTCAAAATGAAGCATTGGCTAAACATAATGAATATCGTTCAAAAAATTGTGTCAGTCAATTAACACTAGATGATCAATTGAGTGCAACTGCTCAAGCTTATGCAGAATATTTAGCAAATACGGGAAAATTCCAACATAGTGGTGCAAAAGGTTTGGGTGAAAATCTGTATATGATGCGTGGATCAGGTCAAATTACTGTTAATGGTAGGTAATTATCTTCCAAAAAACTTAAATTACCAAAGAATGCTTTTCTGACTTTAAGGTATTCAACCTACAAAATCTTGGTACGATGAAATAAATTTATATAATTTCGAGCGACAAGGATTTACATCAGGAACAGGGCACTTTACACAAGTAGTGTGGGCTGTAAGTTAATGGAAGAAAAAATAAGTAATAGACTGTTTCTATCATTTTTTTTCTCTAAAATTCAAGGGCACAAAAAAATTAGGCATGGGAATTGCTTATGGAAATGATGGACGATCAGCTGTTGTCGTTGGTTAGTAGTTTTATCATAGTTTTTTCGATTAATCATCTTTTTTGTTCTGTTATAGCAAACTATTCACCACCTGGTAACATTAACAATGCAGGATATTTTGAGGCAAATGTATTTCCACCAAAATGTTAAATAACACTTTCTGACTTTTTGTGCAATATATTTTTTTCATTATAAAGAACAGTTACCACTATTACATTTCTTTTACATTCTTTTTACAACAGGTTTATTTAATGAATAGTTATCTGATTAGAATTACAGTACAAAAATTAAATTAAATTTTTAGAAGCGACCAAGTAATTCATAGATAGTTCTAGCTGTAACAAGTGTACTTCGAGAAGCATGTAACAAAAATCTACAAGAAAATTCGTCGAGATACTAACGATTCGGACAAATGAGCTCTGTACCATGTTAATTAACCTATCTTTCTAATGATCAATGCACACAATTCTTCTCACCTTAGCTATATGGATTTTGATGCGCGCTTTCGATTGACACCAAACTCACCATACATCATCAAAAATTGTGGCTATCACATAGTTCTGAACTCGGTTAAATCAGCTACAGAAGATGAGAAATGCACTCACTCCTCCGCAAAATCAAATAAACAT